TAACACTACCTACAAACACCAGAAACTAGTTGCGACTCCTGGACAGAGATCAAGTTGGTTAATAAGTCGAGAGGGCTTGGAGCGCCCGGAGCCCAATGTGTGGTAGTATCGAGTCATTGGACAACATACATAGAACTCAGTGCTTAAGGACGGTTCCAGTGAGACAACCCACCATGTACTCCTACATGGCCTCTCACCGCTACCTTGACCAAATCGTGTTCACACACTTAACTCTCAGCACCAGAACATATCGTAACACTCCAATTCATTCCCAATGAATCAGACCTGACACAACTCTAAGCAATAGCAGGCATAGCATGGTAGGAACACAACAATGGCTTCAATCAACTCCTACACATGCTAGTGGGTTTCAACTATTTACTGTGGCAATGACAGGTCATGCAGAGGAATGGGTTCAGCTACCGCAGCACAAAGTAGCAGATGAATCGTTGTTGTCCTAATGCAATAACTGAGAGCAGGAACGAGAGAGTAGGATTGTATCGGAATGAACAAGGGGGTTTGCTTGCCTGGTAAATCAACAAGGGAGGCACTGCTTCACAGACAGGTACTCTGGAACGTCTCCGGAGCAAGACCTATCGAGAAGGAACAGTGTCGGCAATCAATAAACAAACATATGCAACAATATGATGCATGAACATGGCATGAAGATGTGATGTTGTTTGGGCTAATGCAACTAGTACTCATTTGGTTTGAAGTCCATTTGAACCATAAGCTCAAATGCACTTCCAAAGTAGGCTCTTATATATGCCATAATGTGTTTTCCCATATTCAGCATGTATAAGTTGGTTTTTCATGCATGAAACTAGTACAGATGGATAGATTACATTTTTCTGATAATTTTTCATATATAATTTATTTCAATCTGAGCTACGGTTGAATTGATATGAATTTTTGAAGTTTAAATCAATTTTTGGAATTTCCTGAATTATTTTAATTCCAGGAAATATATATTGCGTCAGCAGTGAGTAAGCATGACGTCAGCAAGTCAACTGCGGCTGACTGGGTCAAACCTGACGTGTGGGGTCCACACGTCAGTGACAGGGGGTTAAACAGGGTTAGTTAAATCCTAACTAAAGGATTAGTGGCGCTGGGGCCCACTGGTCAGTGTTAGTGGCTAATTAGGTTTAGTTAATATTTAACTAAAATTAGCAGGGCCTGGCCCCACTAGTCAGCGACCCTGGGGTCAAACCCCAGGTCAAAACAAGTCAAACCCGCCGGCGGTTAGTCGCCGGCGAGGTCCGCGGCGTACTTGTGCCCCGGGTTTCCTCTGTGGTGCTCCAAATGGCGCGCGGCTAGGCGCGTTGGAGAGCTAGCTCGATGGCGCGTGGGCGGTGGCCGTGGCTGGGCCTGGGGTGGCCGGAGTCGACGGCGGCGAGCACGGCTGCGGCTGCCGGAGTTCGGTCGTGCACGAAAACGCGTTTGGAGCTCGAAGACGAGCGAAGCAAAGCGCTAGGGATGCTCTACGGGGCCTTACGAGTGTGTTGGACTCGCCGGGGTGACCAAATGGTCACCGGAGCTGCGTCGACGGCGAGCTCGGCGGCGGCGGAGGTTCGGCCATGGTGGAGAAAGGGCTACGGCGTGCGGGTGACCAAGCGGGGAGGGGGAAACGGTAGCGGAGCTCACCGCGATTGCAGCGGGCGTCGAAGCGGGCTCGGGGACGCACTGGAGACGGCGGGGCGGCGATGGGGATCCACGGCGGCCGGCGATGAAGAAGACGACGGTGTCGGCGATGGGGCGCGTCCCTGGTCACTTGGCTCGTCGAGGACGATGCGGACGACGAGGCGGAGCTTCTAGGCTCGGGCGGAGGGCGAGGGGAGGCCGGTGGCCGCGGCAACGGCGAGCGGCGGCGGTGATGGCGCTCGGGTGTGCGAGGGAGAGAGCAGGGGAGGGGAGGAGGGCGAGGGAGAGTGCGAGAGATGTCGGGGTGGCTGCGTGGCGTCTCCGGGGCATCCAGACGAGGAGGGGAGAGGGCAGGCAGGCAGGGAGGCTGGTGGCGTGGCGCGGTGGAGCGCGCGCGCGTCGGGCACGCGCCCACCCCCTGTCGAGGACGAAGACGACAGAGGAGGGGGCCAGTGGGCTGGGCCGGCGCTGGCTGCTGGGCCGGCCAGGCCGCACAGGAGCTGGGCCGCAGGTAAGTTTCTCCTTTTTATTTCTTTTCTAATTTTTCTGACATATGTTTTGATTTAATTAAAATACTAAATCATTTTATCACCTTATGCCATTTTTGCAGGAGCTAACTATATTATTCCAGAGCTCCTTAATAAATGGCATAGTTTTTGGACCATATTTTATATATATAACAATATATATCCAGGGCAAATAATTATCGGATTAATTCAAATGGCCAAAATTAAATATCCATGAGCTCCTAAAATATTTGTTAGAATTTTACCTCTGATCAATATTTTCAGAGAGCAACATGAACATTTCCTTGGACCTTTTTGGAACAATTTTTATTTGGGTCATTTCAGAGATGATTCTGAGGGTTTCACAAATCCTCATTTTAAAATTAAATGGAATTTAAACATGATGCACAAATCACTAGCTAGCCTAGGTCATACCAGACTAGGGATGTGACACAATTTCTCTAATGAATGATACGCATGCTTGTGCGTATTCGAGAAAAAAAAAGTTGAGGCAATTGAGACAGTGATCGCTGGAGGCAGATCTTTGGGTGTAGCTGCAGCAATCTTCCCACAATTGTTATCACCTCGTTTGTGAATTCCCGCAAACTATCTTGGACATTGTTATAAAGAAGCAAATTCTGTTGCGCATGAATTGGCCACAAATGGCTAGGTCTGGATTTTGTAGTACTAGTACTAGGTTTGAAGAGGTTCCAAGTGAACTGATCGCTCTATTGATTCAAGAATGTAACTGTTGTCACAAGCTAATAAAGGGGTGACATGATAAAAAAAACAAGAAAGCTTCCCAGATGGGCGTTTTGCTACGCCGACTGGTGGGACCCAGTGCCAGATGAGCCGTTTCCTCCGAGCAACCGATTCTCGTCGATGCCACCGGCAGCGCCGCCGCCTCCTTTCCGTCGTCGCTGGCGGCGACCAACCGATCCGCGACCTCCCGCCGACCACCTGCGCGATCCCATGGAACCGCCTCCTCCGCGCCCACATCTGCCGCTCCCGTCCAGACCTTGCGCTCGTGCTCTACCGCCGCATGCGCGCGCTCTGCCCCACGCTCCCCAACACCTACACGCTCCCCCTCGCCCTCCGCGCGGCGACCTCCCCACGAATCGCGTCCGCCCTCCACGCACACGCCCTCCACCTTGGCCTGCACGCCCACCCGGACGTCGCCGGCCAGCTCCTCGCCGCCTACGCCAGGCACGGCCGCGCCGACGAGGCCCGCCACGTGTTCGACGCAATGCCGTCGAAGAGGACCACCATGTCCTGGAACACGCTCATCTCCGCGTACTCGGTCTGCTGCGACCCCGACAGTGCAATGGCCACGTTCTGGCGCATGGCCGCCGCCAACGAGGCGCTCCCCGACGCCGTGACGTGGACGACGCTGCTCTCGGCGCACGCGAGGTGCGGTAAGCATCCGGTGGTTCTTGAACTGTTTGGAGACATGCACCGCAGCGGATGCGAAGGGAACGCCGAGTCTGTGGCCGTGGCGCTCTCGGCGTGCCCTTACGCCGGCGACCTCTCATTGGGGAAAGGGAGGGCTATACATGGCTACGGCGTCGCGAAGGGCGTCGTCCGTGGCTACCTGTTCGTCACCAACTCGCTGGTGTGCATGTACGGCAAGCTGGGGAAGATGGACGACGCCCGGGAGGTTTTCCGGGAAGCCAGGGAGAGGAACACCGTGACATGGAACGCCCTCATCACCAGCTACGCTGCTGCTGGGATGTGCGACGAAGCGTTGGACGTGCTCGTCCGGATGGAGCAGCGTGGCGGCATGGTTGCTCCCAATGTGGTGAGCTGGAGCGCTGTCATCGGCGGCTTCGCGTCGTCCGGGGACAATGAGCGCGCACTGGAGCTGTTCCGGCGGATGCAACAGCAATGGCTTTCGCCAAACGTGGTGACCTTAGCTACCGTTCTCTCAGCCTGCGCCGAGCTGCTGGCGGTGCGGCTGGGTCGGGAGGTCCATGCCGACGCGATCAGATCCATGGTTGACCGGCACTTGCTCGTCGCGAGCGGGCTCATCAACATGTACGCCAAGTGCGGGAGAGTCGCCTACGCACGCACGGTGTTCGACAGTATGAAGAGCAGGGACCTGGTCTCCTGGAACTCTATGTTGGCCGGCTATGGGATGCACGGCCTGTGCGACGACGCCCTGGCAGTGTTCACAGACATGGCAGAAGCTAAGGTCGATCCTGACGGTGTCACCTTCGTCGCCGTTCTGTCGGCGTGCAGCCATGCAGGGCGCGTGTGGGAGGGCCGCCGGCTGTTTGATCAGATGATGCGGGAGCACAAGATTACCCCGTCCATGGAGCACTACACGTGCATGGTCGACCTCCTGGGGCGTGCCGGCTTGCTCAAGGACGCATCTGAGCTCATCGAGACGATGCCGGTGGGAGCCGACCTGTGCGTTTGGGGAGCGCTGCTCAACTCCTGCAGGATCCATGGGGACGCAGCCATGGCCGAAGCCACCATCGCGAAGGTTCTGCAGGCGGGCGCGGAGACCACCGGCAACCACACGCTGATCACGAACCTGTACGCCGCGTGCGGGATGTGGGACGACTCCAAGAGGGTGAGGGTGATGACGAGAGAGGCCGGCTTGAGGAAGAGCCCGGGGCAGAGCTGGATCGAGGTGAAGAACAAGGTGTTCGCCTTCGTGGCCGGCAGTGTGCCCCCGTCAATGCCCAGAGCTGAGGAGATCTTCAGGGTGCTCGACGATTTGTACAGCGCAATGGACGACGAGAGACGTACCATGGAGGACGATCATCACATTGTAAGCGTTCGATAGAAGAGAAAGTGTTTGCGGATACACCTATCTCGTACAGCAGGCAAACAGAGTGAGCAAGTCTTTCAGAGTGGCTCTTGTGAACCGAAGAAGAGCGTGAGGGTCCTGCAGATCTCGGTGGGCTCTGCCATGGCGCCGTTGCCGTAGTCCCCGCAGGCGAGCCGCTTGGTCACCGGAGGGATGAGGGAGACGCCGAGGCCGGCGACAGCGTCGAGGTGGCGCCTGGTGAAGGGGTTGTCCCACATGAAGGTGTTCATGGCCGGCGCGACGTAGATGGGCTTGCTGTAGTCCCACGCGCGCACCACGCACGTCAGGAGGTTGTCGCACTGCCCGCCGGCGATCTGAGCGCGGCAGATCGAGAGAAAAAAAAAATCAAAACAGAACAGCACAGAACGCCGCAGGTGTGTCCACGGTATTACAGTACCTACCTTGGCCAGGGTGTTTGCCGAGAGCGGCGCGATGAGCATGGCGTCGGCCCACTTGCGCAGCTCGATGTGCAGGACCTCGTCGCCGATCCTCCCCCAGGCGGACCACTCGTCGGCGTCGGTGAGGAAGGCGACGCCGCTTGGGAACGACTCCCTGTCGATGAAGTGTAGGGACGAGGCCGTCGCCACCGCCCGGACGTCGGCCCACTCGGCGAGGCTCCGGCAGAGGATCTCGAACTTGATCGCCGCCACGCTGCCGGAGGCGGCGACCAGGACGCGGGGCCTCCGAGGCTGGGCAGCGGCAGCGTCCGGCGTCGCGCCCTGCGACGGCTGCTTTCGCGTGGCCATTGCACTTGTGAATTACGATGGCTCTACGTGTTGGAAATGAAAAGGCAACTCTCTGAAATCACTGAAGGGAGATGGGAAGTAATTGCGGCACTCACACCTCTCGAGTCTCGATCGCAAACTCAGCAGTAGGGGGACAAGAAGGGCCGGTGTTAGCTGGAGAAACAAACAGCAGTAAATTGCGCCAACGATCCAGAGCGCAGCAGCAGCAGCAACAGTCACCACCCAAGGAAAACACATTTTCATTTGGATCTGCCCAGTTCAGATCTTATTCATAGCCATGACTCAAGAGTTCAAGGCACAGGGGGAGGCCCAAGAGCTTGACGAGCACGATCACACCGTCCATGGTTTCAACACACACAAGTTCTCACCAAGGGACAAATTCAGTTTCTAGTTCCTGGAGTCTTAGACTGGCAACGACGATGACAGTCAGTGCGATCGCCTAGTCTGCTGTCTCGCTGCCTACATGCTGTCCGAGATCGACCTCAGCTTCCCGTGACGACGCCAGAAGGCGTCATCCTTCTTCTCCACAGCCAGCAGGTCCTCGAAAGCGGTATCGCGTACCCCTTTGGCGAAGGCTGCTTCACGGATTTTCTTCTCCGCTTCATCGTTGCTCTCCTCCATCTGCCACGGAGAAAGGTTTGGTGTCACAACATCTGGTATGTTCATATCACGGACCAAAGGTACTTGCTTGCGAGAAGAACAGAAGCGCGTTACCAGTTTGTAGCACGATGACAGCTGAAGCTGCTCATGAAGATTATGGTAAATGCTGGCATCTTTCTTTAGTCTTTCATATTCAAATTCCAACTTATCCACCTACAGCAATGCCCAAGGGTATAAAAAAGGCTGAAGTCGGCACAACATTGCACCTTCGAATGTTAACAGCATTTCTTAGTTGATGTCGGTATGGATTTATTTTTCTCTAATGCCTCACCTGTTGACATAGGCGAAGGTGGTCATGTGAAGACCTACCATTACGACTGTTAGATAACATGGCCTTCCTTATTGTGATGCTTCTTCGGGTGTTCTCAGACCTGAGAAGCACAACACATCACTGAGAGTTTGTACAACATGTGGGGTATGCATGTCTGAACTCTGAAGGGTAAAGCTGAATGCAAATAGTCACATACTTTTGTAGTAGTTCGTCCCTCGCATCTACAAGAGTGTTAAGAAACTCATGGACCTGAAAAAACAAGGTAGAAGTACATGGAGAAATTGGTAAAAGGCACAAAGCCGTGAAGATAACAAAATATACTGTTTTCGGCTGCAAACTTGCTTTGGACAAACCCTCCAATACAGGTATGGTCCATGGTGATCTAACCAAATAAAGGTAAATCTTTAATCATATAAGCACTGAACACCTTAAATTCTCATAAAAACACTAATTAGACGCACAGATTCTACTATGCCCCAGTTAAACTGCACAATAACTCCACACTGGTGCACAATTTAGCTATGGAAGTTCACAGAACCACCAAAAAATATGTTCCTCTTTTAGAACGCACTCAAATCACACCAACCTCCACATTCAAATCAATTGAAGATGCAAAGCAGAACTGAAGAAAATAGTGTACAACCTGGTGAAAGAATTCTTCAATACCACCAAAAGCCCCAAACAACCGACGATACTCCTTGGTGATCCTTTGTTTCATTGGACCACTCAACCGGGGGAGGAGCAAGGTGTTCGGTGTTGGCCCCTTTTCCTCCTCAACAGCCCCCAACTTAGCTGTGCGATCCATGCCCTCCTGCTTCCTCCTCGGGTGTTTTCTCTTCTTCCCACCACCACCAGCAAGTGGCAATGATGGTTGGGGTGATTGAGGTGGGACCTGACGGGACAGGATGACACTAATAGCAAGGAGGACGAGATGGGAAACCCGCATGGTTGTAGATCTGTCGCGGAAGGTTTGCGGCGAAACCCACAATCGCAAGAGCAATATAAAGCTAGATCTAGATTTACAGTCTACACAAAAATGAATTCTAGTGGGGGTCACAGGTTACCACTTTGCTTGCGGCGTGTTTGCGTAAGAGCAACTCTAGCAGATGCTGGAAATCCGCCCTCCCCGCAAAATAAGCACCGATATACGGTAACGGATGAAAAAGGGTCCCGAACAGGTACTGTATATTGGCCGGACTCGTATATTTTTGGCAGCAAGCTCTAAAAATCAGCCCGCAACCGCCAAATTCCCCCTCCCC